TGCAGATAATAAGTTTTCGCTCCCGTCAAAATTTTTCTAATATAATGATAGGAGATTGCGTATCTTCATCCTTCCGGACTAGAACGGCACTTACTGCTACCTCCGAGACCGCTAGGTATATTAGCAATTGTTCGTCTTTCTCCGATTTTGATAGTAACAAATGGCTCGATCGATATCGTTTTAGGTATTTTAGGGCATGTTGGCATTCTGGAGTCCATTCAAAGTTCTTATTCTTCTTCATAAGTGAGATGAAGTGATGATATTTTTTTCGAAGACCGAGAAATGAACCTGCTTAGAGCGGTCAGTCTTCTGATTAGCCTTTGGCCTTCTTTTACGCTTGTCAGCTAGTCTGGGATGTCCTCAATGGCTTTGATCTTATTAGGATTGACTTCGATTCTTTGTGACACCAGGAAACCCAAGAATTTGCCGGAGATAACTCCGAACACACATTTTTTGGCGTTGAGCTTCATGATGTGCTTCCTTATGATGCCGAATGTTTCCTCGAGGTATTTTAAATGGTCACCTACATTCAAAGACTTGAACAGTATATCATCTATGTACAGTTCCATTGTTTTACTTATTTTCTTTTCGAACATCTTGTTCACGAGCCTCGAATAAGTGGCTCCGGCGTTTTTGAGCCCGAAGGGCATCACATTATAATAATATATGCCGAAGTTTGTTATAAACAAAGTTTTTTCCTGGTCCTTTGGGTTCATCTTAATTTGATTGTACCCGGAATACGCATTAAGAGAACTCATTAACATATGCCCGGTGGTGGTGTCGATCATTTGATCGATGTTTGGGAGTGGGAACGAGTCTTTTCGAACATGCCTTATTCAAGTCTTTATAATCTATGCACATTTGGAATTTATTATTCTTTTTTGGAACAACTACATTAGCTAGTCAGTTGGGATACTTTTACCTCCCGGATTGAATCGATGTCAAGTAATCAAGCTACCTCTTCTTTGACAAACCTGTTTCTGACCTAGGCTATTGGGCGCTTTTTCTCCCTGACCGGCGGGATGCTCGAGTTGAGGCTTAGCTTGTGCATGACCACCTCTATTAGAATACCCATCATATCCGCATGCGAGCATGCGAAACAATCAACGTTAGTTTTAAGAAAATCAATAAATCCTTATCTGAGTTCATGGTTGAGGCCTGTCCCCAAGTTCAATTTTCTCTCCAGGAATTTTTCAAACAAAGCCACTTGTTCGAGTTCTTCTACCGTGGACTTGGTCGCATCCTTTTCTTCCGGTATCTAAAAATGTCTTTGTACCTGGTAGGATTCTGATGACTCCCCCCCCCCCCC